ATTGCATTTCCATATAAATTGTATATAGAGAGAGTGTGCACAAAAATCAGGTCGAATTTTCAACTAAAAAATATTTTATTCTTTTATCTATAACAGCCCAATCTAACAATGTTTCTCGATACGTGAGGGGTGCCTCACTCGCCGATTCACTCTTTCAAACGCCCATTTCTCCGACCGGGTAAAAATACGATAAAAGAACCTATTATAGAACGCCTTTCACGGGGTATAAAATTATCATCGATTTTATTGTTACTTAAAAGTGTTATTGTTGATTATTTATACTAATGTTTGATAAATTGATATTTCTGGATAATGTAATTAATTTCGAAATATTTATTTAATATGCGTAAAAGATAATACGAGTAATAATAGTAAGAAACATTTGCTCAGAGACACCTACCTTCGAAGAAACATTTTTGATTACAAACTGATTTTTACATAAGAGTCTTTGCATCAGTGAATTTATAAAGAACAATGTTCAAAAGCATGGACAGAATTTCTACCTTTAATTAAGTAAATAGTAATAAATGAACAACAATAACACTATAATAACAATAACAATATAATAAATAACCTTAACTGTTGTTAGAAGTATGCAGAATTGATGATTTCTAGAAACAAAGAAGACTGTATTAAGGTAGTGGTACCAGTTACTGTAGTGGGCTAACCAATTGTTGTCTTTGGTTTGTTTTCGAACATAATTAACTTATGTATTTATCTAATGAGAAATATTAAATTTTGTTAATCTTCTATTTTGTTTATTTTTGAATAAAAGAATTCGTCGAGCGGATATAGTGACATCCAGTGGTGATCGCAGTATTTTAAGACGTTTGAACCCTTACTGTAAAATTATTAGAATTTTAACTGCTCGCGTGAAGGTGAATTCTGGATGTACAGGATCGGTAAGAACATATCGCGACAAGGGTTCCATCGACTTTGTCAAAAGGGCGTTTGAAAGGGGAAGCAGACACGTGTTGAGTTCCCACCGTAGACAAGGCTGTTTTCTACAGTATAGTTAGAGAGTTCATCTCTAGCATAATATTGTTAAACACTTACCCCAAAGTTTCTTTTCAGTTGTGTCATACTAAGGGACGTGCAAATGAATTTAAGTAACGACCCTCGTAGATCAACATCAGCTGAAAAATAACATAATTAGACATGGCATAAATACTTCTCCTCTGTTACATGAAGTAAAAGTTTATAGCAGTAAGTAAAAGTTTTGATAAAGCAAAAATTTTTAATCACATTCCCTATGATTCATTTCAGTAAATTATCTATAAAACATCTTTATCATATAGAAAATCCGATAAATATATAGGATGAGAGATCTTGATGGATTACTGATTTTTAGTAGCTAGCTCTGCACGAAAGTTTATTATGAATTTGTTTGAGTATTTAAGGTTTAACTTGCTGTGTTATTTGTATTGTTGTATTTTTCTTTCAATTAAACAATGTATTTAGCATTCATCGTTTTACATTCATCCAAATCACGTATTTGGATTTCTTTTTTTTAGTATTTTCTTATTTTGTGTTTTCCTTTATCACATTTTGTATTTTCCTTTCATCCTTTGTTAAATCATCCATTTTGAAGATCTATGCTCCTTTTAATGGACATTTCTTTTCTATTTCTTCGGTTATAACATCTAA